TCTGTACACACACACACACACACACACACACACACACACAACAGGAGTTATAAGGTTAATGGGCATTCAGTCAGTTAGCTAGTTAGTATCCATTTCAAATAGGACAGTGGTAACAACAGTAGGCTGCATTCAATTATAAGTTTTAGATTTTAAATAAGCTGTATAAATTTCAATGGGAGCAACAGGACGGTCAAATGTCGCTGATTTTACTACAGAGCAGGACGGATTATAGGGTAGCAAACATCATTGGAAAACACGTTTTCAACACTGCAGGTTACCTGGTGTAATGTTTTTCAGCTAAAAAGAAACATGGCCTGACTCCTACCTAACTATATAAAAAGTAACTTAGGGTTAAATGCAGCTAATATGTCCTGTTTTAAGCCAGGCACTTACCCCTCCGCTCCGCTGCGTCTCAGCCACCATCGCTCTGGCAGAAAGGGTGCTAGAGCCAGAGCAGGGGAAAAACGAGCTGTAACAACAAAGTTCTGTATGCTTTTTATATTTTTAGTAGTGTGTCACACAAACAGCAAATATTGTCAAAAAAGTAAGACATCTTTGGGGGTGCTTTGATTCAATCGCCCCTGCTGTTAACTATCAAATTAGTCTATGCTGGTCAGCTAGCTAAAGGTTTTTATGTTAGCAGCCTAAATCACAGGCTAACATTAGCATTTGTTAGCCAGTCAGGATGGTCTGAGGCTAAAACTAGAGTTAGTGTAACTTTGCCTGAAACCCTTTAAAGTCTTCAGTAGAGGCAACTGTAAAACATAGTTAGCTGTCATGTTAAATTTAAATAATAATCTAAATAATATGCAAATGTACTGTTTATAAGATTGGGGAAACCTGCAGTCAGCTGAGACTGAAAAAGTCACCTGGATGAGTGACGAAACGTTTCTCCCACTGAAAACGCTACGTCCAGATGAACAGAATCAACTTTTGGAGATTTACTTACCTGAATGATTGAGAATGCATCAAGACGATGACAGGGAAACTATTTCAATTCAGTTCAATTTTAATTATATAGCACCAAGTCACAACAACAGCTTTATATTCTAAGGTAAAGCCTCTACGATAATAGAGGGACAATGCCCTGTAAGCAAGCACTTGGCAACAGTTCTCCCTTTTAACAGGGAGAAACCTCCAGGAGCACCGGGCTCAAGGAGGGGTGGCAATTTCATGGGTTGGGAGTGAGCATTGGAAGACAGGACTAAAGACTAAATTGATCAGACTAAAACATACTCTTTGTGCTATCTGTCCACCTTCCTGGCTTGAGAACAGTAAAATATTACCTCTAATATACTTGATAATAGATATCTGAGATTCTATAGATTCTATATTCTGTAAATCACAGGTTTGTGCTAAATGTCTGTTTGTGTTGAGGACCAGGTATTGCTGAAAAAAATCAGTTCATGAGCTCCAAAGTGCTGGTGTACTTCTTCATTTTTCATAAAGTAAATTAAAAATATAACTTGTCCAGCTCCAGATGGACACCCTGTCAGAGACAATAGCACTTTCCTATGGCACTTAATTAAAAGCAGCTTTCAGCGACAATAGCCAACTGTGGCCACAAGATGGTAGTAATGTAAATGCTAGGTGCACATATTAATGAACATGCAAGGAACTTTATGACAGTGCTGTCTGAGCTGAAAGGAGAGAGATCGCTTTACTTTGGTACATTTTTATTGAAGTCTATTTTTAGATTTGACAGGGCAAAGATTCAGTTATTACAGACCTCCAAACCTCTTGTGATCTTCAGGTTGGCTCAAGTATGTAGCGAGCTTCACCTAATATGCTTCCATGGCCAAGCAGCTTTATCCAAACCTTACATGGTAAAATGGTCTGTATTTGTATAGCGCTAAGGACCCCAAAGCGCTTTACACTATACGCAATCATCCACCCATTCACACACACATTCACACACTGGTGATGGCAAGCTACAATGTAGCCACAGCCACCCTGGGGCGCACTGACAGAGGCGAGCACCAAGCACAACACAAAGTGTCAGATGCACTGGTGTAAAGCACCTCTATCGGTCTCTGAAGCAGTGGAATACCTGATCTCTTCTCTGTCTGGTATGACAGTGTGAGCCGGAAGAACTGCACATGTCTGACAGCATTTTGCCGTGTGTGACCTTTCCTCAACCTCGTGGAAAGCCTTCACAGCAGAGTTCACAGCTGCAAAGTGTGACCTGACATCATATGAAACCCTATGGATCACACAAGTTCATATGTACTACTATGTACATATGATTTGGGGATATATAAATAAAACTGAATTCAATTGAAATGAAATTGAATATGCGTGTAAAGGCAGATGAGTGATTACTTTTGGCAATATAATAAATGTCACCTGCCTTAATAGCGAGGTATTTTCAGCCAGGACATGCAGTGGCATGAGTAAGTAGTGATGTGACCAGCTAAGGATTCAAATAGTTGTAATAGTGAATAAACTGTCTTAATTAAAGTATATACATCAAGATAATGATAATATTAAAGAAACATATGAAACAACAAAGTCTTCATTCAGATGACATTAAATCATCCCGTAGTTATCCTGCTATGAGCTTATTACAGTGTTCTGTTGAATAAATAGGATTTTCTCTCTGATATTAAAAGGAAAGCTGTGCCTCATAATAGTTTGAGGTACATTTATTTAAAATTAACAAAGTATTATTTAAAAACTATTTATTTTAGCTGTGTAAGCAGCCATAACATTTCTGCTTTGGTCCTGTGAATTCTGTTATTAAATTAAGTTGCTGGAATGGACAGAGTCCCTAATACAAAGCATTACAGGCATGGTTTTTGGGGTCAGAGAGGACGGTTGTCAGTCACACGTGTTTGATGGAGTTTCAGGCTGGAATGGTTTCCTTCAAACTGTGTAAGATAATTTGACTTTGACTTTCACATCTACCTATTCACACTGTGCACTGTGGGGACACTGGGCACCTCTGAGGTGGGTGAGAGGCCAAAGAAATGAAACTCCCCACCAACAGGATTTTTCTTTAATGAGATACTTGGACAAGGTGAATTACATTCAGCGGGCACACAATAGTGGAAAAACACACGGTGGCACAGGACACAGCTATGGCTCTATTCAGCCGTCATGCATTGCATCTGCTTTCGTTTGCTGCATGGTGATGAAATATGGAGCACTGCAGTGACTGCATGACTACAGCAGTCACAAAATACACTGACGAAGGGATTTCTGTGGGACAGATTGAGTACGTTTATTTAACAGGTACAGAAATTGACATGTAAAAAGGAAATGCTGTGGTTTTCACAGCAGTTAGTGGTGGGGTTATTTGTTGAGGAACTGAATGCTAAAGTCCTGAGCTCAGACTGGGATTGTTGTTTTGAACTGTGGACTAACCAAAGACTATTTTAAAAGATCTGGATGTAGTCTTTGGTCTAGATCGTAAATCCTATTGAATAACAATTCTTTACAATTCAATATCTGTAGATATTGTCCTCGTGTTCTGAGATCCATCTGCTTACTCCTTTCCAGCCTTATCCTCTTTTCTAATATGGCCACGTCTTTCCCCAAAAAACATGATAGTAACAGCCCAAATGCCAGACTTGAGGCTTCATAATGGTAGTCCACAAAGGAAGGATTGTGGCATGGAAACTGTGTGCTTGCTGGATAACAAGATATAGCTTTTAAATTAAATAAACTTGGGTTTTTGTTAATGCTGATTTGTTTTCCTAGTATTTGCCTGCTTCAAGGCTTTGTGTTAAGCTAGAGTGACCATGTAATATCCTAGTCCTGTCAGCCAAAAATTCACAGGATTTCTAGAGCATTCACAGGATTCCAGAACTAGATGTAATAAAAATGTAATGCATTATATAGTATATAATTGAGGCATAACATACTCAAAGTATAGGCAGTACAAGCACAAGCACTGGCTGGCGCCTCTCAGCAGGCTTTCAGAAGTTAGTCAGGTGGAAAGAGAAGAAGGAATTGAGTCTTCTAAGGGAGCGAAGCCTTAAAGAGACAGGTTGTTTCAGAGGATGAACCAGGGGCTGACTGTAGGGCTAGTCAATGATAAATAAGGAAGTAAGGATTTTTTTTTACCTGTCAGCCTGAAAGGCTTATGGGGATATTGTTCGTACCCTGCTGGGCGGCCAGGCAGCTATAGGCGAGAGGTGTGGATAATTCAAGAATGACGTGATATAGGATTTTCAACTTATCATAGGTGCATCTACTCAAAGTCTGACCTTCAATTTATTTGAGTTGTTTTTTTTTAAAAATCTAGCACCAAATCACAATAACAGTCACTTTTATATGTACCCTACCATAATACAGAGAAAAGCCCAACAATCAATGACCCCTGTGAGCAAGCGTGTGGTGATGGTGTTAAGAAAAATTTAACAGGAAGAAACCTCTGGCAGAACCCGGCTCAGGGAGAAGCAGCCATCTGCTGTGACCAGTTGGGGGGTGATGGGAAGGAGACAGGACAAGAGGCATGCTGTGGAAGAGAGCCAGAGATTATTAATAACTAATGATTAAATGCAGAGTGACTTCTAAACACATAGTGAGTGAAAAAAAATGTGAGTCAAGAAAAAACCTCCACCTGACCTCAAAAACTTGACCTGAAAGTCATATGTCAAGGTTTCGGAAAATCTTGTGAACAAGGTAACGCCACCTAGGATTGTCAAACTGCTACTGAAAAGCTTGCATGAGTTTAAATATCCTCTGGCAAGATTGTCTAAAAGTTTTTATGAATGCAATAACTCAAGACATCACCTAGGAATTGTACATTTTTACCATATATGAGGCTGAGGGGTAGCACTGGTGGCCACCAGTATTTTTTTTTTGAGTGGCCTCGCAAGTAGAGACAGAAATGACTGTAATAGTTAGCCCTTTAAGTAGAAAGCTTGTATCTCAGATCTCCCCCTGAATGTTGCCAAAGACTAGTTTGAGAATCATGTAAAACAGTTACTCAGAGTCGCATGGAAGGGGTATAATAGATACACTAAAATTAAAGATGACTTGTTGCTACTCAGGAGAGCGTCATCTGTCAACCTCAGTTTGGAGAAGCTGGCTGAGTCTCCAGATGATTCCTCATCAACCAAACCTCTCAGCAGGAGAGCTGAGAGCCTGGAGAGACAGTTATCCTCAGAGGGCCAACCTCCACCCAAACCTCCCCATACCTACTACAGCAGACATAACTATCCTGATGGAGGGGAGGTCAGGACGGCAGGTGAGACGTCACAGCAAATTTAACTGGTTTTCAAACTTGTCTCAGTCAAGTTTCAGCTTCTGTCCCATGAGGGCCAAGAAAAAGGATAGACTGCTGTAAAATGTGCATTTAGAACCATGTTATGTTAGGCAAGTGTTACACCAGTGCCAGCTTATGTGCACACTGACTTTCACAGGATTTATTTGCACATCACTGCAGAAAACATACCTTAACGTTTGTTCCACATGGTTACACACTGTTTCAAGGATGGAGTTCATTTCCAGATATTGTTAATGCACGCATATTACAGGTTTCAAATGGAAATGCAACCTTGGAGTCAGAGTTGCTGAAGATTTTATCAACGCAAACTCCTTTTTTTCATTTTGTCAATCATTTGGATTTGTAATCCATGCATTACTATAGTTTTTAACGAAGCACTGAACAGCGCTTAGATGACTTCTATGTCAATAATTGGCCTGATTGTGACTTGATGCACTGCAGATCCACAGAGTCTCCAAAGCCAGCCGTCAGTGCCTCCTCCTGCTTCTCCTGACCCCCAGGACCCGCCAGCTGTGAGCCCCCAAGTAATAGAGGACCCTGTGAACAAAGACAAGCCAAAAATGAACGTCTTCAGAAAGTTTTTTTCTAAGAAGTAACACTTTGGTTTCCATCCATATATCTTGTGATGCTGTCCATCTCAGTCTCGTTTCAGATTTGGAATATTTTTGTTACCATCAACAATAAGGATACAAAGTCTTGACATGACTCTGCATGAAGTTTCATAGAAATCACATCATATACCAAATACAGATTTTCTTTTACAAGTACCTCCAGCAAATGAAAGGAGGTTATGCCCAGCACAGACGAAATGATAAAGTAACGGCTCATACCACTACTAGATTTGTGATTGGCTGCTTATTTTCCATATTTGCTGATTATCTGCTAGCAGCTGTGCAACCCACCTCCAGCCCAGCTCCTCTTTTTCATATTGTCTGACTTAATCTGTGCTTCTCTGTACTGTACTGGGTCTTACTGCTGCTCTCCCTGTCTCTGTCATTCTGTGTATACACATGGAAAGGTAACGTAAATAACTGCAAATGAAAATACCATAATCTTCTTTTACTATAGAAGTTCTAACTAAAGTAGCAATCAAGTACAAAAAAAACCCCAGCAAAAAAAAAAAAAAACTCCTTAAGAGATTTTTGGAGAAGCACTTTATGCCATGGCCACAGTAAGGAAGGATTTGAAGCAGCCAGCAGGTCAGCAGTTCTACAGACAGATGTTAATGATGTGTTTACATCACCTCTAATGAGAATCTGCTCTCGGCCTGATCCCAAACAGTTTAAAGTGACTCCATGTGAAGACTTTGACTGCACGACATGATCACTACTTTATCAAAATTGACACTTGCTCTCATACAGAATGATTGACAGCAAATCAATTCAAGCAAATTTGTCACATTTAACTGGAGAAAAGATTCGCGAAGATATCGTTCAGCAGAGATGACGCTCTGCATTTTCACACAAAGAACTTTGGCTAATGATTCAACTCCATTTATTTATTAATGAGCAACAAATCCAAACATCTCCAGTCTCATTTTCTCCTCCATTCAATCAGATCAATAAGTGAATCAATAAAAATAATGAGTCAGATTGAAACTTGAAGAAATCATTTGGCAAAAGAAATTAAACTCAGTTGAAGTGTTAAAGTGAGAGTCATTCAATAAAACTGAATCAAAAACGTGATGTAACTTCATCATTTATCTGTATCTGTTTCTGCAGATCAGACTTCGACAATGTTACTTATCTTTTTCTGTATTTGTTTGATTGCTCTAAGATTGTTTATTGATGTGTTTGAATTGCTTTAATAAAATGTATCCATGTTTCATTATCAACCATTATTGAGCTCTTTCTCTCACTGGAACTATGGTAACGATTGGCCACATGTTAAAACTTCATCAGTGTGTTGACTCACAGCACCAGTATGTTCACATGTTCAAAGGTCATCTGCCTGGACTTCAAGGGTCACGCAGAGAACATTTGACCATCGTCATCTTAGATTTGAACTCTGTGGCACTGGATTTTGATGTTAAAGGAGGCAATTTGACTTTACTGAACACCATTTTAAATATCCAAATACTTAAATATCTAAAAAGAAAATGATTATTGCTAAATGTCATGCACCAACCTTTGGGACTGAGAATTAAGCTATTGATGATGTGCCAAAATCTCCACTGGCTGTTTGAGGCTGTCTCCAAAAGCAGTGGGAATGACAACATCTCAGCCACAAAGTGGTTGCCTGAGTAAAACCACAGAGCATGAGCATGCTGAAGCAAATTAATTCTTCAAAATTGCCAATGTTCTGAAAATGTGATCACTACAGACCTCCAAACTTCATGTAGCCTTCAGATTAGCTCAAGAACAGTGCATAAAGAGCTTCGTGAAATGTATTTCCGCTGCAACCAAGCATTATGCAAAGAGTCAGATGAAGTAGTGTAAAGCAAACTGCCACTGGACTCTAGAGCAGTGGAGACGTGGTCTGTGGAGTGACGAATCACGCTTCTCTGTCTGGCAATCTGATGGACGAATCTAGGATGGCGGTTGCCAGAAGAACTGCACATGTCTGACTGCATAGTGCCCTGTGTGACGTTTGTGGAGGTGGTGGTATGGGTGTTTGAGCTGGGCTTAGCCCCTTGCATACCAAAACACTTTGGACAACTTCATGCTCCCAACTTTGTGGTGATGGTTTTGGGATGGCCCCTTCCTGTTCCAACATAACTGTGCACCAGTGCACAAAGCCAGGTCCATAAAGACATGGATGAGCGAGTTTGGTGTGGAAGAGTTGAAGTTGTTGTAGCTGCAAAGGTGGCTGACATCATATTAAACCCCAATAGATTAAGAGTGAAATGTCCCTCAAGTTCCTATGCATGTGAAGACAGACGAGCAAAAACTTGCTTACGTTTTTCTGAATTCTGTTATTTTAGATATGTTACTAAATAGCCAACATCTGTTATGAGTTATTCGGAGCACATTAGTTGATAATATCATTTAAATTTAGTTCCTATTGGCTTCAAAAAACTGACAGCAGGTAAAACATTAACTGAGAAGCTGAAGCCTTTATATGTCAAGTCACATATGAATGTAGTCCCAAAATGTACATTTTAGGTTAAACATTTTTCATCAAGTATTTCCACCACATTTTTGATAAAATATGACAAAATCAGTAGTAGCAGTACTTTATTTGCCAAAACTAAAAGTTTGTGCTTTTTTCCTAGAAGTAGGTGAAATGATCGTTTCAATTCAATTCAATTCAATTTTATTTATATAGCGCCAAATCACAACAAAAGTCGCCTCAAGGCGCTTCATAGATACAGAGAAAAACCCGGTTCACTCTGGCACAGCTGGCTGCCGGCAGAGCCGGCGGGCACGCCGGTGCAGCCCCCTCTAGCTTCTGCTCGGTGGCTACTGGGTGACGCCTCGTCTGGGGATCCTCAGCCCTTCCCATGAGGGTGGCACGGATGCCCCTCCGGTGGTCCTCCTTGGGCTCACGCACTCTGGATGTCTGGGGCCTGGATCTCCATGCCTGCTTCATGCCCTGGGGGACAGGGCTATGGCTCTCTACATCCTCTTGCAGACCATTACATGTGGAAACCATTTGAATACAAGCGCGCTGATCCACACAGGTGTGCACACGGGTGTTCACTATTCGTAGACTTAAATTACACCTTTCTTGGCTGCTACTTCAAAGCACATTGTGCGCTGTCTGTCCTGCGTGCTGCACAACAACACTGAATATTTAGTATTTACTGCTGTTTACACTTAGCTAGATTAATGCGATGGTGTTGTGTTTAGTATGTTGCTTTGGGTTTTTTTTTGCTTGTTTTCTATTCTTTCTCTCTCAACAGGTGATCCAGGAGATTTTTTTATTTATTTTTATTTATTTATTTATTTTTTCCCCTTTCTCACTGTCCCTCTCCCCTTCTGTTTTTCTTTTCCTTCCTCTTTCTTTCTCCCTTTCCTATCCCTCACTCATGTCTGTCCCGTCTGTAACATCTGAAAATAAAATAAAATAAATAATAAAAACAAAGGTCGATCAAATGGACCAATGCGGCAATGCCACGATGATCCATTTGGCAAAATAAATCCATTGGGTATCCTTGTTGGTCTTCAGACAACAATTCTGATGGCTAAAGAACCAAATGGGACAGGCAAAAAAAAAAAAAAAAGATACAGAGAAAAACCCAACAATCATATGACCCCCTATGAGCAAGCACTTTGGCAACAGTGGGAAGGAAAACTTCCCTTCAGTGATTCTTCTAAATTTAGATCTACATGTTGTGAACTATCCCATGAGTGTCATCTGCTGTGACAATACTCTTCCTACAGTGGCAGTAATATGAAGTGGAATGGCTAAACTGATCATGCCAGTCCCTTGTAAAGTTTGCACTGACAAATTGTGGGGTGGTTGCTCAGAGCAGGTCACCTACTAATCACAAATCAGCCACAGTTCTGTCTTCTTCTTGCTTGGTCTTAATATCAGCACAAAAACAGAGCCCACTTACTTTCCTGCCTCCCCTTGCAGTCAGCTCTGTTCCAGATCTGAGAGTCAGAGTGTAACCAAAAACCTTTTCTTTTATACTTTTTTTTTAATTAATTCTAAATTATTTCAAAACCTTCTGTATACTCTGGGCAACTGAGCAGGTCAACAATGCAAAAAAGGCATGACATTTTGGGGGAGGGAAAAAAACCCTCCTTTCCTGGTAATGTTATAACAGTTTCTCTTTCATGTTGTTATTGTGTGATGGTAGCACAGCTGGTTTCTACCTCCTGGCTGGCTGAGGCTTTTTCTGTGTGAAGTTTGCGTGTTCTCCCTCAGCTCAGATGGGTTACCGTCAGGTGCTCTGGTCCTCTTGCAATTCAAAGAGATGCATGTTGGGTTAGTTGGTGATTCTAAATGAACCACAGGATGTGAGTGTGTGTTTTTGTCTGTGTCTCTGTGTTGACCCTGCTACCTGTCTGCTGTGCATCGCAACTCTCGCCCTGTGAGCTTGGTCAGACTCCAGTCCCAACATGACCTTATGGTTGGATAAGAGCAGATGGACAGACGGGTCATGTCTTCCTGTCTGCAGAAACTCTCACTTGTGTGAAGCTCCTCTAACCGAAACGTCCTCTTGGTGTCGCTGTCGGTGCAGGAATGAGCCTCACACCGTGTCTGTCGTCCTCGTGGCGTGAACATGCGGCCTCCAGTCATCTGGTTGTATTCTTTTGAAGTCTGTTTTCAGCGTTTGTCATCGATTGAACCATTATATCATTTTGAAGTCCTCCGCACCAACACGTGGTGTTCGTCCACAACGAAAACCTTCCTTGAATAAAGCGCGAAGCGCGTTTAAAATAGATATAAACAGTCACTGAGCAGACTCCAAAAATATGGAAACAAATCGTGAACTTGTGTGCATCATATATCTGTTGTATTTGAATTGATTTTAATTGCACAGATTTTTCATTTAAAGGTTGCCCAAAAATGAGGAATGCGCTCATGATCACTTAATGAAAAAACTTAAAACGCAATTTATATGTTAAACAGCCAAATTAACGTGATCGAGCTCATATTTATTCCTTAATAAACGAAAAAGAGGGCATTTTATCAGTTGAATGGCTTTAAAGGTGTGACGTTTTCTTTAAATCTGTACATTTTTTGAAAGCCTATATTCGGCTTTATTTGTGGGGCTTCGAAACATTCAGCCAGTCCACGATTAAATTGTTTTTAGATGGGCTTCGTGCTGTTGGATTGTACTGCTAGTATAGAAGTATGTGACCGACCATCGGGCTTTACTGTTACCGTCCATTTTTGGTGGTGTTGGACCTATTTGTGTCCCTCCAGGCCTCCGTCTGATTCCCCCTTCAGCATTCAGCTCACGGCGCGACAGAAAGACAAGAGAAACCAGCAGAGAGCAGAAACAGCAGGAGCCCAAGGACAGGAACAGTGTGCAGAAACAAGTTGAACTTATCCAGAAACCAGATACTGACGATGGCATTTTAGCTCTCTCATTTAAACTTCATTGTGTTTCTGTGTTCGGCTCTAATGTTGCTTTTGACTGCGCGTCATAGGTGCTCTACTTTTTATACGTTAAAGGTGCTTTGGGCTATAGTAAAGTTTACTGTCATTCAGCTATTAGAGGGTGTTCTAAAGAAGAAAGAAATGCATCAACCTGCTTTTTTAAATTTATTGTTTAAAAAGAGCGCAGGTCTTACCTCTGTGAGTGGACTATTGCTTTTCACACTGAAGCTGCTTGCTGGTTTTAAAGGTTTATTTCCTTTCACCTTTTCCAAAGTAATCAAGAATTCTAATTCAATTTCCCTCATAGATAACTGAATAAATATATTAATATACACGAGAAATGATATATATATATATATATAAAATACAGGAGGTTAAAGTTCCCTCCGTATTTGAACTGTGCATTATACCCGGCTAGGTTTGCACATTTAAATATTGAATCTGATATTATTCCAGGTCAAATGTTTAGACGGCAAAAAGCAAGGTTAGGGTGACCAAGTGCTTCACTTTATGTGGGACTGCACAGCATTTTCATCACCTTGACCAATCTCTCCTCCTCCCCCTTTTCCACATACGATGTCCCACATTTTGATTGGCTGTAGTTTACTAAAGTCAGCAGTCAATCTCACAAGAAACGTGTGGCTCAAAAAGAAATCCACAGATCAGCGGACGCATCCAAACAGCGGATATAACAGCGGTGCCGCTACTGTGAAAAACAAAATACACTGATGTACAAAGAGAATATCATCAAATTATTAAAAACAAACAAACACGCATAATGTTGCAGTGCATACTGTTTGTGAGCTATTTGGAAAAAAAATGTA